TAAAAACCACATGATCATCTCCATTGATGCAGAAAAGGCTTTTGACAAAGTCCAACACTCATTCATGTTCAAAGTCCTACACAAAATTGGAATAGATAGCCTCTACTTCAATCTGGTAAAAGCCATTTATGAAAACCCAACAGCCACCATAATCCTAAATGGGGAAAAACTGAGATCTTTTACTCTTAGATCTGGTACAAGACAAGGGTGTCCTCTATCACCACTCCTATTCATTATAGTTCTGGAATCATTAGCTACACCCATTAGACAAGAGAAAGAAATAAAAGGAATAAGAACAGGCAAAGAAGAAGTTAAATTATCTTTATTTGCAATGTGTTAATTATTAAAACTGTCCTATCAAAAAAAAAAAGAGAGAGATACAGTCATCACCATGTTATGAATAAAGGCTCAGGCTCAGGCTCAGACACATTAAGCTACCCCAAGATCACCAAGAGTAGGTGGGAGAAGATCTGACAGATTTTTCTATAAGCATTCCTTCAGAAAGGAAGCAGGTGACACATGTGGGAGGCTGAGGCAGGAGGTTGGCCACAGTTGGAAGCCAGCCTGAACTACACAGGGAGACCCTGCCTCCAAAAACAAAATACATAAAAGTAAAAGCTTCTTTTGAGCTACCTTGGAATCTAATATGACCAACTCAGGGCACTGTCCAGCCTCCGAAACATGAAGGGGTGGGTGGGGCTTCAAAATTCAAAGTCCACAGGGTCTGGAGGGAAATGAAGCAGACTGGAGAGAAAGGCAACTGTTTAAATGAGAGCCCTAGGCATGGTGGGAACCCAATGCCTCCCCACACACCCTGAACAAGAATGTACTCATGTCAACAGGTCTCACTGGGGGCAAAAGGCACATGCAGCAACCACATTCTATATTCATATTTCAAAATTATCTGAATCTGTCACAGCTGCAACTCTTACAAATCTAAAAATACTCTGAGTGAAGAACTGGATATTAATAAACAGTAGTACCACAATAGACCTAACCTATATGCTATGAACTAGGGAAGTTCTTTTATAAACTGCTTACAAATGTCATCCATGATGTAGTATAACCCACCTCTTGCTTCCAAAAGCAAACACTGGGAGTGTACAGACGCAGCCTTTACATATAGATATAAAAATAGAGAAACTTAACAGTTGAGTGGCGCATACAGAAACAAGTAGAGTAAGGGCAATCCTTGCTGCAATAGGTTATGAAGAGAAGGCAGTTGGGAAGCGCAGAGGAGCATGGGGTGAAGGAGGCAACAAAGGCTTCCTGGTTGGAGACCTACCTGAGAGACACAGGCCTGCAGAGTTCTACATATGGCAAATGAATGTTAGGGGCCGGGGAGATAGCTCAGCAGTATAGCACCTACCTGGTAAGTGCAAGGTCTTGAGTTGGATTCCCTGTACCAAACAAACAAACAAACAAATAAATAAATAAATAAATAGCAAAGAATGTTGACATTTTCTGAGGGAAGAATTAAATGGAAAAAGGAAATGACTGGGGCCCAATGCAGAAGTCATGATGTAACATGTTTCCACACTCATCTGAAATGAACCTCCACTGCCTCCTGCCTCTCTTCACTTTCAAACCAAAAATAAACTAGCTTTGACAAGCTTTATAAATCAAAAGGTGCAGGTTCAGAAACTAGGGAAAAGGGGCAAGAGGGTAGATGCATTCTAAGAAGGGCTGAAATACCAACTAGCATCTCCTAGGAAAATAAACACTGGGGCCAGAGATGAAATTCAGCAGCACAGCGCGTGCCTGGCAAGCATTAGGCCCCTAGTTCAATTCCAGTACCAAAAACAGAACAAAGCAAAAGACTGGCACAACAACCAAGTAGATAGCTCAGTGGCATAAGTGCCTGGCTGGTAGGCACAAGGTCTTGTGTGCCATCCCCAGTACAGAGACTGGCGTGAGATGCTCTCAAGCACGTCAGCATTCAGCTTGTGCTGAATGCATTCCCTATTTCTAGTAGAGGGAAATGCAGCAGATAAGCAACTGAATAAAGTTAAAACTTCATCAAACCAGGCGTGATGGCACATGCCTATAATCCCAGCACTCAGGAGGCTGAGGCAGGAGGATCCATGGAGACGAATTTGGTCTACAAAGTCAGCTCAAGGCCAGCCAAGCAGGCCCATCCAGGCAGTGCCATTTTCCCAAGTACATCCTCTCCCACTTTTCACAGTGGATAAGAGATCCTGTTACACTATAAGTAAAATAAGAGCCATTTTCATTTGGAAAATGAAACACCTCCATGTTTTCCTTGTACATAAGGGATCAGTAAATGGCAACATAACCCAGAAAACAATTTTAACTATTAACTAAAGTCACAAACTAAGCCTGAAGTTTAATGGACTTCGTGTTCCCACATTTATGTTTGTTAATTTCTATGTTGAAACTGGATCTGCTTACAGAAAGACCTATGAAGCTTCCAAAACTAGGTCAACATAAAATCCAACATCCATCCCTCAGTGTACATGCACTCAGAAGTCAGCACGGGATACATGAACAGTTACTCTAATTCATCCCTGTTCAGAAACATCAAGCAAGTTCATTTTTCTATCACTACTCTTTCAAACTTATGAACATAATATCACTCCTTTTAAGAACTGTAAATTCAGAGCTGAGTGACACCAAGGGCCTGCCTGGCCAGTATAAGGTCTTGAGTTCGATTCCCCAGTACTCATCCACCCAAAAAAGAATTGTAAGTTCAGTACTGTATTAATTTATGCATAAAATGTTCAAAAAACCTTAAGCCACCCTTCTAAACATCTAAAAGGATCCATATTAAAATCAATGATGCTGTTTACATTTAGCCAAATAATGATTCAGATCTTTGTAGACCACCACGTGGTCTACAAAAATCTCTGCAGTATCCCAAAGTACCCTGCTATTCCAATAATAAGTTGAAGGTGTTTGTAAGAGTGGTCAGTAGGGTTTTAAGAGACTACCAACTTATCAAAAGGCAATCACTTAGTCCTGTAAAGATTTATGCTCTTCAAAAAGTATCTGGTGGGCTGAGGAGATATCTCAAAGGTCTAACCATCTCCCTGGCAAACACAAGGACCTGGGTTCAATCCCCAGCACCGCATGCCATGCCAGCCCCAGGGCACCGAGCTGGCCACTGAAACCAGGCATGGTAGCACATGCCTATAATCCTAGCACTGGGGAGGTTGAGACAGGAGGATCACTACAAGTCTGAGCTGCATAGTGAGACCCTATGCCAAATAAATAAAAGATGTTTTTTAAAGTATCTGGCTTTGGGCTGGGGAGATGGCTCAGTGGAATAAGCGCTTCCCTGTCAAGCACAAGGGCGAGTTCAATCCTCGGTTCTGAAAAAAAAAAAAAGTATCTGGCTTGGGAAATATGTACACATATAACATATAACATGCCCAGATCCAGGAATATAATAAACTTTTACCATATGGTATAGTACAGAAAGAAGTGAACAGTTAAAAAAATTGAGGAAGAGGGGCCGGGGAGATGGCTCAGTGGAATAAGTGCTTCCCTGGCAAACGCAAGGGCCTGAGTTCAATCCCCGGTTCCACCAAAAAAAAAAAAAAAAATTGAAGAACAGTTTTTCGGTACCAGATACCTAAGACAGGACCTCACACTTGCCAGGCAGGGTCTTGCTATCTAGTTCAAGCTGGACTTGAACTCACTGTGTAGCCCAGGCTGGCATCTAATTCACAGCAATCCCTTCAGCCTCCCAGAAGGGATTATAGGTATGCAGCACTACATTTGGTTTAACCATAAATTTTAAAAATGATATTGCTTTTTTCATTATGCAAATATATTACCTATTTTAAGAATAGGTACTTGTGCCTAACTGAATACATACTGCTTTAGTGAGTATATAAATCAGCATGATCTTCCCAGATAGCAATAAATCAAGTACTAAAATTAGCACTCTTTGCCAAACACGGGGGCACATGCCTATAATCCCAAAACTATGGAAGGCTGAGGCAGGAGGACTGCAGGTTCTAGTCCAGCCTGGACAACTTAGCAACTAAAGGAGTCCCTGTCTGAAAATAAAAAACAAAGCCAGGAGTACAGCTCAATGAAAGGCCCTATGTTCAATCCCCAGTTTAAGGAAGAAAAAAAAAAAAAAACTGTTATATCAACTTCACAGGGTAAAAGTACTATAGATGAACCATATATTCTATTATATGAAATATCATGTAGCCTTTAAAATTATGTTGTAGGAGTTGTTTCGAGGCTGGCGTTGTGGGGCTAAAGGCCCGCAGGCCGAATGAACAAGTCGCATAAACAAATTTACTACTCGGACAAATATGACCATGAAGAATGTGAATACAGGCATGTCATGTTGCCCAAGGATATAGCCAAGCTGGTTCCTAAAACCCACTTGATGTCTGAATCTGAATGGAGGAATCTTGGTGTTCAGCAGAGTCAGGAATGGGTCCATTATATGATCCATGAACCAGAACCTCTTGTCTTGCTGCTCCGACGGCCGCTACCCAAGAAGCCAAACAAATGAAGCTGGCAAGCCACCTTTCAACCTCAAGCTATACACAGCTGTCCTTCCTGCCTGATGTCTTTCTGATAATACGACTATGTTGCCTTCTCTTTTCTCATTTTGATATTTAAAGGATGTTCAATACACTGTTTGAATGTGCTGATGACTGCCTTGCCTCTTGAGTGGGACCACAGCTCTGCTTGTGAGTCTCTGGGCTGCAGATAAGCCGAGTCTGACCCGAGGAGCCGCAGTGTACTCTGTTTCCAGCAGAACACACCAGACAGGTAGAAGAAGCATCTGAGAAGCAGACCATGGCTTTTAGGGGATTGTGTAAACTTGCTGTTTTGTGTTTTCCTGCTGGATATTACGTGTACTTTATGGTGATTTATGGATTTGCGTTTCCATTTTATTTGAGAACTCTGTTCAATGTTAAAGCCTTGATTAAAGAAGTTTTTATAAAAAAAATTAAAATTATGTTGTAGAAAAATTTAAAGATATAGATAGATAGATAGATAGATATAGATATTCCTTATTAAGTGAATAAAAAGGTAATAAAGGCTTTCAATGTATGATTTGTTTTTTGAGACAGGGTCTCACTATATAGTTCAGGCTGGTCTTAAACTTACAATAGTCCTGCTTCAGCCTCTCAAGTGCTTGGCATTACCCGGGAGTGGTGGCACATGTCGATAATCCCAGAGCTCAGGTGGCTGAGGCAGGAGGATCCATGCAAGTTCAAGATCAGCCTGGGCTACAAAGTGAGCTCAAGGCCAGCCTAAACTGTATAGTGAGACCCCACCTTAGAAAGACCAAACCAAACAAAAAAATAAAAGTCAAGTTCTTGGTTTTATAGGCATACACCATCACACCCAGACAAGGCAGAGTTGTAATATAAAATAAATGCACAGAAAAAAGGTAAACAAATCAAAATATTAGCAATACTTATCTAACAAGTAGTATCGCTGGTGGTTTTATTTTTTATTTCCCATGTTATATAAATTTCCTCTCAAAGTATGTGCTACCTTATAAAGATATCACAAACTGTTTATCAGTACATGTTTGTGATGCACAATGATTACATTCATCTTGGGGAGTTGATACATATACATAATGCACCTTAACTCTTTTTTGTGTGTGGAGGGCTCAGCCTGCCCTGGGGGCAGGTTTACACAGTATGTGGTGTTGGGATCGAACTGCAGTCCCTGCGCTTGCCTAAGCAGGTGCTTTAGACCACTGAGCTATCTTGTCAGCCCACCTTAACTCTCTTTACAACCCTTCTCCATCTCTTAGTCCTAAAATCATTTAAACATAATGATGAGACTGACATATTAATATTTCCTTTGGCCCTTTTCCCCCAGTAATGCCCTGGGATTGAATCCAGGGCCTCTGCACTGAGCTACATCCCCATTCTGCCCAGTTTTTTTTCCCCTGCCAGATAGGGTCTACACTGAAGGCTCAGCTCAAACTCATGATCTTCTGCCTCAGCCACCTACAGTGGTGGCAGTACAAACATGGGCCCCACATCCCACTCCCTCATTTCTTAATATAATTCACAGCTTTACCTGTGGTTTACCAGGTCTGTCGGTCTGCTTGCCTACAGGCTTAACTGAAAGCTGCAATATATTCTCACTTCTGAAATCCTGAAGTCTAAAAGATTTCTCTTCAGAACCTGTAAATAGTAGACAGATGAATAAAGCTCAAGTTCTTTGTAGTAAAAAATATAATAGAAGGAAGTAGGAAGGGGCCATAAATAAAAGACCAAAGGATGCTTCTGAGAGTCAAGTAGCAGAGCCCTGCTGCCTTACAGACTATTAGTGCACCAATGTGACAGTGTTCTTAGGCTTCTGAGGGTGAATCTACCGCCTTGTGCTACACATTCGCACTTTAACCTTCACAAATACTGAATAGTAGTGTATGCATCTATTCAAAAAAATAGTGCTGGCTGTCTTAAAATGTGAACTATTACTACCACTTTCATTTGCTAAATCTTTTAAATTTCCACTTCCTAGATAAAAATTTATACCTATTAATTTTTCATTCTTTTCCCTTTTATCAAGTTGCCTTATCCAAACAAATAAACACAGAACCCCTTTTAGTTATCTGTACTGTTCTCATGGAGTACTTTGGACAGCTGATCTATGTCTCAAATACACAGTTCCATTCACAGAATCCTTGGGTCATACAATTGCATTAATTCTTTAATCAATTTTAATCACAACAAAGAAAATTTTGTCAAAGGACATTCAATACCACCTTTCCTCCTCATCGAGGTAAAGACTAAGAGAGAGAGAGACAGAGAAAAAGAGAGAGATTGAGACAGGAAGACAGAGAGGAGACCCCGGCAAAACTGACAGAAAAATACATAGGCAATATGTAATTCTAAATCTTTCTGAGGGCTGGAGAGATGGCTCCGTGGTCTAAAGCACCTACTTGGAACAAGCTTAGCAAAAGCATCAGGGACCGCGGTTCAATCCCCCAGCACCACATGCCAGCCAGCCCTGCCCCCTGGTGGGCTGAGCTGGCCTCTCCCTCTCTCTCTCTCTCTCTCTCTCTCTCTCTCTCTCTCTCTCTCTCTCTCTCTCTCTCTCTCTCAAATAAATAAATAAATAAATAAAACTAAATCTTTCTGAACCTAAATAAGAAATAACCTTCCCACATCATTGTTTCTCCTGGACAAGCATCATTAAAATGCAGTAAAATTTTATTTTACAACGGCTAGCACAGATATATTTAAGTATAATCACTACCAAAAAAAGTCCCATTTTATGTAAATTATTTGAAAATTTAGCCAGCATGGAAGCACTTACCTACAATTCCAGCATTTGGGGAGCTAAGGTAGGATCACTGAGTTCAAAATTTACCAACCTACTTGAATCCGAGCCAAGTTTTCACACCTGCAGTCAGGCAATGCCTCCTGTCTATCCAATCAACTGATACTTTGTTGGTGATTCCCATTCCCAAATACTGCTCTAATCCAACCACACTGCTTCTCAAGAGTGTGCCCACCAGCTACCTCACAAGCCACTCCATTTTAGGCCCCACTACCTCCCTCGTCCCTAATCACCAGCACTTACAGAACTGTGTTGTAGGGGCTGGGGAGATAGCTCAGTAGAATAAGCACCCGCCTGTCAAGTGCAAGGGCCTGAGTTCAATCCCTGGTTCCACAAAAAAATAATAAAATAAAAAACTGTGTTGTGCACTCAGATCCTGCTTTGTCTTGGTTTGACTGTCATCTCCATCTTCTGTCCCCAACCATAACAGAAAACCTCTGAGTACACCAGGCACCTGACTGTATTCCCAAACTATCCATCACCAAGCCAAATACACAGTACACCCTCAAAGATAAACTAACTGAACAGGTAGCTGGGAACTGGCAGTTGACAAAAATCACAATTCAACACTAAACAGACACATCCAAACCAGCCAAGTATATTCAACTACAACTTGGGGAGATGTGGACAGGTAGTATAGCAAAACCAACTCTATTTCTGACATCTTATGAGAGAAATTCAAAGAAAGCCTATGGGATACCAAGACAAAGAGTCAAAGCAGTAAACACAACAGATGAACTTAATTTCAAGCAAAATCAGGAAGTCAAAATTCTTCTGTGCTAAGCAGCAATAGTTTAGAAGAGCCCTGGCTACTGAACTACTAGAAAATGTTGTGAGGGCAGGCATGATGGCACAGATCCATAATCCCAACACTCAGGGGGCTGAGGCAGGAGGATCCTTGTGAGTTTGACACCAACCTGGGCTACAAAATGAACTCAAGGCCGGCCTGCACTGCATAACAGAGACCCTGTCTCAAAAAGGGGGGAAAAAAGTGGAAAAAAAAAATCACTCATCTACGAAACACTGGAAGGGTGAGACAAGATTACAAGTTGCCAACTTGGGCAGCCTCAGTGATTTGGTGAGAAATAAATTGAGGTGGGGGCTCAGTGCAAAGGCTCTGGGTTCAATCCCTAGTAGCAAAAAAAAAAAAGAAAAAAAAGAAAAAGAAAAGAAAGAAAGAAAGAAAAAGAAAAAAGAAAGAAAGAAAGAAAAATAAGGAAAAAGCCAGGCTGGTAGCTGCTGTAGTCAGGGGTTTACAAAGTAAACAATACAGGACACATATAAGATTATTGTGTAATAGTCACCCAAAGAATCATATTCAAAGACAGTGCAGGAACCATCTGTCCTCATACTAAGACCAAAAGAATCCAGGTGAAGACCTACAGCTCACAATGCCCCCAACAAGTGCAACCGGAGGTCAAGGCACCATAACAATGCCCCATACAGGCCTGATTCATGGATTTGCACTGGGAAGGCCCAAAGGTCACCGATGGAAGCTAGAAAGTCTGTGCCAGTGGGATGAAGGATCAGTGCTAGCAGGCTGAGGGATCTGAACTGGAGCCAGGAAGCAACACACAAGGTAAGAACCAGAGCTCCCCAAAAAGTGTCACAGCCATCTCAGCGACAAGGTCCTGATGAAAATAGCTAAGTTCAATCAGGAAAACCAGCAGGACAAGCTCCACCAAGAGAACCAGCAGCTCCCTAACAACTTCCTACAGCTCCCAACGGCTTTTCTTCTTTATAGCTCTGCCTCTTACACTGCTGGCAACAATCCTCAGGTGGGCCTCCCACACCCAGCACCATACTGGTTCAGTTAGGCTGCATGTTACAAAATGACCACCAGTTGGCAATCCACCACAATGGTGAACGCCTCTAATCCCATCACTGGGGAGGCTGAGGAAAGAGAATCACCAGGAGTTCGAGGCCAACCTGGGATACATAGAGATCCTGTCTCAAAAAAAAAGGAAGCTGGGCACAGTGGGGCACACCTGTAATCCCAACACTTAAGAGGTTCAGGCAAGAGGATCATTTGTTGCAAGTTAGAGACCAGCCTGGGCTACAAATTGAGGTCAAGGTCAGCCTGAGCTGTACAGGGAGACACAGTTTCAAAAAAGACTAAAAACAAAAAGAGGGGGGACAGCTCTGCGATATTATATAAGCCGGTTTTCCTTCTCCAATCCATAAATCTAAGCAATTTAGAAAGGCAATAATAGCTAGTGACTCCATAAAAGGGAGAACGGTTGGCAAACGTGTAACATAAAATGACTTAATTCCAAATAGAAGACAATTCCAAGGACTATTAACGTCTCTCAATTATGTTCTCGCACAATCTAATTTGCCTTTCTATCATACGCAGCAGTTTTGAAACGCCGGTTTTCTGCTACTAAACGCCACACTTCGGGCGGGGCTGCATTTCAGTCACTTTTAGGGACGCATCCAGTGTGGGCCTCG